ATTAATTCAGTAGTTCACGTACATGACTTAAAAATAAACACAAGGACTATGGCAGAGGCACAAGATGTTCACTGCTACAAATACACACTGTCAAGGTTAGAAATCATTGCTTTAGGACACACACCTGGAGTATCCCAGGTGCTGGCAATGCGTGCCTACAGATATACTCTCTCAGATACACCCTTGGATTAGTTCTGGCTCTTTCCCACCAAAATTTACCCCAAAGTCCCATGTTCATGGCCAGGTAGCCAGTCACTGCTGTAGTTGCAGAGTTAAGGCTGGACACTATGGGGTCTGCTCCCACAGTTTTATTGGGCATAGAAAATTTGTCCCCAAACAACTCCTTTACCTTCAGAGAGCTCAAAGGACAGAATAATGGTGGATGGACATTGCCCCAGCCCAACACTTGGACTCACATATGCTGAAGATGCCCTCACATCATTTGGGTCTCTGCTCAAATGTCACCTTACCACTAAGGACAGCCCTGAAGACATGATAAAGCAGCAGGTCCCGGTTCCCTGTCCCCAGCTTTATTTTTCCCCGTAGCACTCATCAGCATTTGACAAATTTTATGTTTTACTTGTTTATTTGATTGTCCACCTTTCTAGAATGGAAGCTTCATTAGTATAGGAAGTTTTATTACTTTTGTTATCCTGGCATCTTGCAAAGTGCCTGACTCATAGCAGATGCTCGATAAAAATTCGATAAAATACTTGTTTTGCCAGCCTCCCTTGACTATTACATGGGAACATGACCCTGGCCATGCTAATTAGCAGTACTCACCCCAGAACATGACTCTTAGGTAATGACTTAACCCATTCTGAACAACTGGAAGGAGAGAAGCCAGCTACAGGCAGTGTCCTGGAACAGCAGCCATGGTGTTGGTGTCCAGTCCTTGTCCAGTGTCACTGTGTCAGCCTTGCAAACTGTAGGGACTGTGTCTGGTGACACTTTCACTGGAGCATATCTGGGGTAGGATTTTGGGTGAGGTTCTTGGCTGTGTAGCTTCCAAGCCTGATCTCTAGCCTTACCAGGAAATTCTGAGACTCACCCAGCATTTTTTAAATTAAAATTCCATTTCTGGCCTTGGCTGGTGCGGTTTAGTGGACTGAGCGCCAGACTGCAAGCTGAAAGGTTGCTGGTTTGATTCCCTGTCAGGCCACATGCCTGGGTTGCGAGCCAAGTCCCCGGTTAGGGGTGTGCCAGAGGCATCCAATTGATACTTGTATCTCTCACACATCAATGTTTCCCTTTCCACATCTTGCTAAAAATAAATCTTTAAAAAAATTATTTTACTGCTATAAAACCTTTTCTTTCATTAAATAGGCTTTGAGCATGTTCTTTCTCTCTGGAATACACCCATGCCTTTCCCCCTTTCTTTTTCCTAAGCTCCAATAGCCTTCTTTTCCCTCTGTAACTAATTTCCTGAGCCCATGCAGCTCAGCTGGTGCACCTTTTCCACCTCTGGGACTTTCTAAATAAACTTTCTCTTATAATTTGGGAAAAAAAAAAAAAAAAAGGGCTTTGAGTTGGATTGCATGGGGTCAAACAGCAGTTCTCCACTGACCAGTTGCCTAAACCATGAAACTGCTCTGAGATTGCTCCCACATTTGTTTTACATTTAAGTTTATTGGGGTGACACTGGTTAACAAAATTAGAGTTTTCAGGTGCCCACTTCTACAACACATCATCCGTACACTGTACTGTATGTTCACAGGCCCCCCCCACCCCCCGCCGCCCATTTGCAAGTGGGTAAAATCAGAGTACTACCTCCTAGGATTGTGGTGAAGGTCAAATGAGATGTTACCTGTAAAATGCCCTGGGATATAGTTTACACACTTGCAAACCTAGGTTATATAAGGCCAACAGAAGTCTTTTTGACAAAGTGTTATTTATACCTGGCTGCTAATGTTTGTAAGTAATGACATTTCAAAAAACATTCTGGATTTACAACTTCTCTCTAAACATCAAAAGCTCACCCTGGCTGGTGTGGCTCAGTGGATTGAGCACCAGCTGCGAAACGAAAGGTTTCCAGTTTAGTTCCTGGTCAGGGCACAGGCCTGGGTTGCAGGCCAGGTCCCCAGTTGGGGGCATGCGAGAGGCAATCAACCATTGTTTCTCTCCCTCACTTTCCTTCTCTCTGAAAATAAAATCTTTTTAAAAAAATCAAAAGCTCTGGGACCACACTCCCACTTTTCAACAATGAGATTGTGCTGAAGAGTCTAGCTCCTTTGGAGGAGGTAGGAACCCACGTGGCCTGATTCATTCTTGTTACCTGCCTGGTCGCTGAGTTTGTAGCCTGCACTAGGAATTTATACATAGATTTCCTAAGGCTGCAAAAGTTTAGCTAAACTGTCTCTAAGAAACTTCAAACTGATTTGGTTTTTGATTGCTGCACAGTAATTCCAAAACATAGTTGAATTATTCCTAAACAGTCATTTTATTATCTTTAATGTTTCTCTGGATTGACTGTGTTTAGCTGGACGACTGTCCTCTCCACAAGGTGTTGGCTGAGACTGCAGTCATCTGGGAATGTCCGTGGATTGGGACATTCAAGATGGTTCCCTCACATGGAGGGTAGTTGGTGCTGCCACCTGAGGGCTCAGGTCCGCCCATCTCAGTAGCCCTCTAAGTGCCTTGAGGCTTTCACAGCATGGTAGCTAGATAGGAAGCAGGAAGTAAAATCTGCCAATTTTAAGTCCCGGCATTCCATAGAAGAGTCCCAGAATGTCACTAGTGCTACTTCCTATTGGTCAAAGCTAGTCACAAGGCTGGCTGACATTTAAAAGGGGGAGGGATGGGTGGGAAGGAAAATAAGTGTCTGCTCTTGAGATAAGTATACTCACACAATCAGGAGAGGACTGTTTGCAGGGGGCAGCATATCTATGGAGACTGACTAGTGGCTACATAAAGCCAACATTTTATGATCTATTTACTCTACCTTGATGTAAGAATGGCTTAGGGTGGAAGAAAAGCCTCTTGGCAGCTCAGTAAAAAGGAACTCAAAATGACTTCTTACTGCAACAGGTCAACAGTTATTGAAGGCCTACTTCCTATAAATTCCCCCACTTACTCAGAGCTGGCTTAAATTCACTACATCTTATTTCTAACAAATTTTTGTTAGGAGGATTATCCCTAACCCCTTCTGCGTATTTGCCTTTAAAAATCAGATACTTGTAAAAAATAGTAAAAAAAAAAAAAACAACCACCAGATACTTGTGAATTACAGGTTGACAAAATGAATATTTATAAATGTTAACAGGGAGATTCATTCACATTAAGTCATTCTAGTTTCCTCTTCTGTTGATTCTGGGAGTGTCAGGATTCCAGCCTAAATATGAAAGGTTACATACAGTTGGCCACAGCTCTAACTGGTGGACTCTGACGGGAGACCTAGAAAAGACCTGTTAGAGTGGGAATTCCTGAGTCTCGAGCAGTTGCATATTGGCTCACGTGGAAGATGATGCAGCTGAGATAACCTAGCTGTAAAAGGTAAAATTATGGAGGTAATCCAGAGAAGCCCAGAAGTGAAGTGAATCATTTTAACTTAACCACAACGGCCTAGGTAAGTGTCTGGCCTAGACCTCCCGAGGAAACTTGAAGCCCAAAGGGCAAATAGGAATATTAATACAAACGGTTAAGTTTGAGGCAGAAAGGATAACAAGTGTGGTAAGACAATGAGAGAAGTTCAGATAGCTGGAGGACAGGGTGATAGGAAACAGAACATTGTGAGTTGAAGGCTGAAATAAGGGTCAACTTAGGTTTGGCCAGTAGTCTGAACTTTATTACAGGCACTGGGGAGCCACTGCGAGATTGTAATCAAGGGTTAAGGTGGCTGAATCTCAGAGAAGTGCCTTACCCAAGTTATACAATTAAGAACAGAATCAGAAAATAAACCACTCCTAATTATTTCCAACGAGCTAATTCCTAACGCACTAATCCTCCGTTGTTCCAAGTTTATTACTGAACCTCCAATTCGCAAGGCAAGTGATGGCTATGTACCTCACCACTCTGCGGAAATAGCCTCGGCCCTTCAACCGGAAATAGAAAATGACCTCTGCAAACGCCACCTAACGGTGGGCTAGAAGCAAACAAAGTCCGGAAAGCCGCAACGCCGGAAACGGCCGGCTATTTCCGGTTAAAAACCCTACCGAGCACACTCCTAGAAGGGCGAGTCTCGGAGATTCAGCCAGTTCGTCCAGCGTGCTCGGCTCCGCGACGTCGCAAGCCTGCTTCTGCGCAGGCGCAGGAACACCCACACAGGCACACGCGTATGCAAAACCGTGCGCGTCCCCGTTCTCCGTTCGGCGCCACGGTGCTGTTCGAGGGTAAAGCCTTTGGAGTTGTAACGCAGCCTTTTGTTCTCTTAACTACAACTCCCAGCATGCTTCGTCTCTCATATTGGTACTAGGTGTGGTGTCCCAGGATAGGTTAAGGAGAGACCATGGTAAAAATGACGTACCAAAGAGGAAAAAATTGAATACGTCGTTGCAGGATGTCATTTGCAGAAGCCCCAGTGGCCTAATGGATAAGGCATTGGCCTCCTAAGCCAGGGATTGTGGGTTCGAGTCCCATCTGGGGTGATTAGTTTTTTCCCTTCTTTCCTTCTAAGAAACATTTGCAACGATACACCAACTTAATTTTACTTAAAAAAAAAAAAAAAGCTAAGTGTATGTGTGGTTTTATGCTGTTAGGTTACACTTTAAGAGAATCGGAACACTATTCTCTTCCTCTGATTTTGGGAAGTCAATACGTTTAATTGTTATCTCCCCTAAAAATAGTTTCAGCGTGTTCTGTTTCAGGTCGACTTCCGCCAGCCTTTCATTACTCGAGGTTCAAGAGGTCGGCCAACTAATAACTTCTTAAATGCAGCTAAGAAAGGACTTCCTTTTCCTTCGCCTGGCTTTTCTCCTAGCTCGTCAGTAACCCTCGGCTTCCCTTTGCCTTTCCCTTAACTCCTTAGGGCTCCGCTCGGCTTTCGATTAATAAGGCTCCGCAGAGAAGGGAAGTGAGACTTCCCACTGTTTTGCAATCGATGAGGGGAGCCGTTAGTGTGGGTCCGACCGTACCATTAAGCGGCTGGGCTTAGGGGTGAGGGAATTAGAGGGGCGTAGGGCGCCGTAGGGCGCCGCAGGGCACCAGCCTCAGAGCACGGGAAAATGGCGGCCCTCGGGTCTCCGGCGCGCACTTTGCGAGGCCTTCTACGGGAGTTGCGCTACATGAACGCAGCCACTGGCCGACCCTATCGCGACACCGCAGCCTATCGGTATCTCGTGAAGGCTTTCCGTGCACATCGGGTACGGAAGCCTCTGTCCAGGGTTGGGAGGGAAAGTAGGAAATGGGCGGGTGAAGAGAGCGCCGGGCCCTAGCACCGGGCTGTCTGAAGCCGACCCTCCCACCCGGTCCGATTCCTTCCGAGAAACCCCCAGGCCCTACCTGGGCTCTGGTCCCTGGCCTTAGCCCAGGGGTTGACCCTGCACGGGCGGGAGGGTACGTCGCCCGGGGGTGGAGCCGTTCCTTAGGATTTCATTGGCTGTCTTTGGAGGAACTACGGGGGGGAAAGGTGTGTGTACAAGGTGGACAAGTGTAGGGTCACTACCCACAACATCTGTCCACTCTCCCCGCCCCTTCCGTCGTAAAGCTATTTTCAGAAGCAATTTTTGAGGCAGAAAAAAAACCCAACCAACTAATAATGCATGGAATATAGGGAGCTTCCTGAAGAGCAGGAACTGTTTCACTTAATTTCTACCTCCTACACCACTTTGAAAAATGGTGCCTTGTAGAGCGGAACTAGAAACTTGTAATGGGCTTGTACTGTCAGGTATGACATTAACCTGCTTTTGGACGTTGTAGTTTTCCTTCTGTGGCTGCTAAATGGGAACATAGGGGAAGCCATCCTTGAGAAATTCCTTTGTGAAATCCATACACCGTATCCTCCTTAGGCGAGAGCAATAGAATATAGTTTCATTTTTTTTTTAAATGGACAACTGAGACTAAGGGACAGTGACCCTTTAAGCGACATGTATAAGAACAACTAAAATCTAGGATGCCTGGTTCCCAAATGAGAGTCTTCCATTAACTACTGCCTTTGAAGTTATGAAGCTGGTCTGGAGAGAGGTTGCAACCTACCTCAGAAATAATACATTGGAGAGTCATCTTGGGCTCTGCAAGAAAACATACAGTCTTTTGAACCATGTAGGAGAATGGAGAACTGTCAACCTAAATGCTGAATTTCTGAGCCATGGAAGTTAGAGTTAGAATACAAAATATTAGAACTAAAATTCAGCTAATTGTTAAAAGGCCACAGTGTTAGGGACTTTTAGGAACTTGGCTAAAAGCAATGAATAAGATGCACATAGGTCCTGTCTTACAAGAAGTTTACCGTCTACCTGAGGGTCATCCATATGACCAAGCACTTAGAGTAAGTCAGTGCTCAGGCAGTAGACAACAGTGATTTCTAATACGCAGGAGTAGGTTTTCAGAAGGCAATTCATTAAGCAGGGACTTAAGGATAAATTGGAGTTAGAAAGCAAATGGTGACTGGGAAGGATGAGATACAAGTAAATAAGCTGCACAAATGAAGTCTAGAAGTGAAAACTGACAACTGAGAATGGCTAAAGCTTACAGGGTGATTGGTGGAGTGGAGGAAGATGAGGTAGGTGGTAGAAAGAAGGTCACTCAGATTATTAAGAAGGTGTCATGTTTATAGCTGTCCCCTATGGAAGCAGTATTACTGTCCTTAAGAAAGGCTTGGTAATTGCTCTAAAATTCCTCGGCAATAAATCAGAAATTCATGCTATAAATTCCAGAAACACCACTCTGTGGAATGCACATAAGGATATGGGGAATGGTTCCTATTTCCTGCGGGCTCAGTGCCAACTCAGTCTTCATGTATGCCCATTCTCTCTCTCCGTTTCCTAGGCTGAAGGAGTTCAGGTGGGGAGAAACCTCCCCTTTCTCCTTAGGGAAAATAGACTTCTCTATTTCATTTATCTCTTTTGATTCATTTACTATGTTATATTCTTGATTGACCCTTCTCTCCAGACTCCTCATGATTCAGGCCTAGCTAAATCAAGGACAGTATTCTCTTGTTCTATACTAACATAGAATTCCTATTTCAAATCCTACAGTTTAGGTTTATATACCAAGTAGATACTACCGTTTGTTAATGTTTGGCATTGGTGTTGATCTCATAAATTTTTAACTATAAAAAATTGATTAAAGCAGATGAATTGTTTTTGAACAGCATTTGAGTGGCATTTTCACACATGTGATCTGCAGATCTTAAACCATACATTCTAATTTTGATTCTAATACTAGGTATTTAAATAAAGAAAGGGGATTCTGTAGGCAGTGGGGCCAGATTAATCCACACTGGACAGGGCTCCTGAAGTCATTCGAGGCTATGCACCCATCTCCACCTCAGCCTTCCTGCCCCTTTCTCACAGCCTCAGAACCCAAAACTGGTCAAGTGAAGGACAGTGGACTAACTTCCTTCATCTGGAAATTAATTATAAAGAAAAAAACAGCTTTTAAGTCACTGAGGACTTAAGAATGGCTATGAAGTTTCCATCTTCTGAGCATCATCAGAATCCAGGTTTTTCAGATGGATAAGTAAATTGTGAGAGTAAGAGTAACGTGAATATATGCATATTACTTTTAGATGTAAAACCTTCATTTTATTACTATTGAGGACAAAGCTGTTTTTTAGACAAAATAAATTTTAAATTGTCATTGACGTGAAAGGCATACGTCACATTAACCGAAGTCCACAGTCATGTAAGGAGCAGCCCTTTATTTGAAGGGGAGAAAGTTCTAAATTATATTTCTGAGGTGACATTAATGACCAGTGACCTGATTATAGTTGTCCACCTCTGTCATTCACCAACCACCCAGCCTCCTTGGGCTTTAGTTTCCTCTTTTGTAAAATGAGAGAGTTGAAACTAGAAGACTTTCTTCCACTATTAAAATGTGTGCTAATGGTTAACTATCTTGTACCAGTCTATGCAAAAGAAGTATGTATCTATCATTTTAATCCACTCCTGGAAATTTCCCCACTTTGCTTTCTCCCACCTCCCTAATCTATCACCAATGGATTTTATGTAATGCCCTTATGACTTCGTTGATTCTAATGTAGAAAATAAGGTGCAAAACTGCTATTCCCTGTAGTGTTTTCTCAATTTGTTGAGATACTGCTTCCCAGAAATTGTCATCAGTTTGGCTAAAATAAACTCACAAAAATTCTCTTAAAAAAAAAAGGTGTGCTAATTCAATAAAACACTTCTATGAAACTTTGTAAAACTCTTCTTAATTGCAAATTAACTGGAGGTCAGCTTTCTGAATTATCAATTACAGAGTTCCTGTGTGTATGTATTAAGTGTACATATACATGTTTCTATTTCCTTTTCAGTTGTATTTCATTCTCTAGAATGTTTATTAAATCTTATTTTGTGGCCTTTAGGTGGGCTGTTGATAGAGTATATGACTTTGCTACTTCTCTAGGTCACCAGTGAGAAGCTGTGCAGGGCCCAACATGAGCTTCATTTCCAAGCTGCCACCTATCTCTGCCTCCTCCGCAGCGTCCGTGAACATGTGGCCCTTCATCAGGAATTTCATGGCAAGGGTGAGCGCTCAGTGGAGGAGTCGGCTGGCTTGGTGGGTCTCAAGTTGCCTCAGCAGCCCGGAGGGAAGGGCTGGGAGCCATGAAAATGGAGAAATTCCTTGGATGCTGCCTTCATACAAGAATTTAATTATTTCTATCATTATGTATTTATTATTAAATTTTTTTTAAAGTTTAGGGATTTTTTCTGTAATTTTGTTGGCCAAGTGTTTCTTAAGGACATTTCATCTTTACTCTCAGTGAATTTACTGAACTTCTTACACTAGATTGATTGATGTTCTGCATTTACTTTTAAAACTCTTTATTAGTATTTTTATTTTAAATAGAAGCCTATTGGTAAGGAATTCAAATAGTATAGACATAAAAGCCCTCTTTTCTTTTTTTAAAGATTTTATTTATTTTCAGAGGGAAAGGGAGGGAGAAAGACAGAGAGAGAAACATTGATCGGTTGCCCCTTGTACACGCCTAACCCACAACCCAGGCATGTGCCCCTACCAGGAATCAAAAGCTGGGTGACACCCAACCAACCGAGCCTCACTGGTCAGGGCAAAGTCTACTTTTCTTTCCCTTTGTCTCTCCCTTCTCCCATTCCCATTCCCAGGTGGTCACTATTACTAATATGTTCATATGCATCTTTTCAGATACTTCCTATGCATATACAAATATACAATTGTACTTGATTAGAAATATACTAATATCCTGGTAGGAAACAAGTGGCACACTCAAATGGGGTTATTGAGGAGAGTTAATGAGATACATAAAGATGTGGCCTGAATTAAGGTCAACAGGATGGGCTGACAACAGTGGGGTGTTATTATGGGGTGAGTAAAAGTAGGTTAATAATAAACAATACAATCATTCATAAATAAAAAAAAAACTTCCATGTACTCATACTGTAAACCTACTTTTGCCCCCCACTGTACTGCATCCCTTGGCCTGGGAGAGGTGACTCTTAGTATAAGATCATGGACACCACTCAACTCTAGGCCTCAGGAGGAAAACCAGGGAGAGGGAGAAAGAATACACTGACTTCTCCTTCTGCCTTCAAACCTTCATGTCAAATTGCTCTTCCTCTTTAATTCTCTATTGGAGCGCACTTGACCAAGTGAAAAACTTGGGCTTCATTCTGTATTCCTCTCTCCTTTTTCCACATCCAATCAGCTGGCAATTTCTGCTTCTGTAGTAGGTCTAACATCCTTCTCCCTCCTCAATCTTCACTGCCTCTGTCCTACTTTAGGCACTGATAATCTTCTGGTTGAAGTATTAAATTATTCTCCTAAATGGCCCTCTTGTTTCTAACATCCAGAATTTCTCAAATACAAACTATTCTTTCTGTAAACTACCAAGTCGTCTTTATCTTCGCCCTTTGTGGCATATGTCAGAGTCTTCCGGTATCGTAATTGTAAACATGTCTTACCTAACCTCTTTTTCTTGGACTGTATGGTTCTTGAGAGTAAGGATCAAGTGTCATTCATTTTTATGGTCTTGAAAGCACCTGCCATAGTGACTTAAATATAGAATTATTCAATCATTGTTTTGAATTCACTGCTCAGTTAATTTTGCTCATTGGAAGGAATATAATCTGAACAGACCTATTTATAAAGCATTGCACCATCTCCTAAATAATAGTATTAAAATAATAGTATTAAGAGGTCAAACAGCATTATTCAATTGACCAGATCAAAAACTAGAAATGTCTTTTTTTCTTTTTAATCCTCACTCAAGGATATGTTTATAGATTTTAGAGAGAGAGGAAGGGAGTTTGAGGAGGGAGGAAGCATCGTTGTTAAGAGAGAAACTCTGATCAGTTGCCTTGCAAATGTGTCCCCACAGGGATCAAACCTGCAACCTAGGTATGTGCCCTTACCGGAAATTGAACCCAACTTTTTCTTGGTGTATGACACAAGGCTCCAACCCACGAGGCCACCTGGCCAGGGAGAAACTGTAAATGTTTAACATACTTCTCTTCCCGTCTGTTTCATCGACATGGTATTGGGTTGCCCAAAAAGTCCGTTATGGTTTATCCGTAAAATGAAAGACACATTTTCCATTTTCACAAATAACTTTATTGGTTTGGAAATTTTGAGTATGTCGGCTATCTCCTGCTATTGGCTTCTAGTGGTTAGAGGCCAGCAGGGCTGCTAAACACGTTCCAATGCATAAGATAGCCCCACAGCAAAGAATTATTTGGCCAAAATGTCAATAGTACCCAGAAACTCCACAAACCATTTTCAACATGTTTGATTAGTCACAGCACCTTCTCCATACACTGCACAAATCATTTTTTGCATTTCAGTTGCCTTTTTACCTTTCTAGAAATAATAAAGCATAATATGCCAAAAATGTTGCATATTTTCTCCCATCTTCAATATTAAAATGGCTGCACAAAAATTCACCAATTTTGGTTTTTTTTAAAATGCAGACTGACATGACAACTGTCACAATACAATCTAACAAAATTATTTTGAAAGACGTTAAAGACAACTAAGCGCTGCTAGAGCCATTACAGGAAAAACATAATGAACTTTTTGGCCAACCCAATATATTACTATCCAAACATGTTTGCTAAAAAGGAAGCAAAAGGATTAGGATAGGTTGATGTTTTCATTTTCTTGTTGTTACAATATTATATATACAATAAATAACCTTTTATAGAAAGCAAATGGACGCAGAACTGCCTAACAAAGTAAGAAATATTATGGCCCTGGCTGGGGTGGTTCAGTGGATTGAGCACCAGCCTGTGAACTGAGAGGTTGTGAGTTTGATCCCGTCAGGACACATGCCTGGGTTGTGGGTCAGGTCCCCACTAAGGGGCAAGAGACAGGCAACTGATCCATGTATCTCTCCTGTGTTGATATTTCCTTCCCTCTTTCTCCCTCTCTTTGCATCTAAAAGTAAAAAAATAAAAACAAAAACAAAAAACAAAAAAAAATATTTATTCCAGGTTTTAACTCATGTAGACCTCGGTTTTAATCCCATCTTATAATTTACCAGCTGTGTAACCTTGGGCAGGTTAGTTGAATTGAACTTGCTCCCTCTTCTCTAAAACGGAAATGCCATCAAGGTGGTTGTAATAAATGAGAATAATGTTTACATAAAACATTTGCACAGTACATAATAAATGCCTGACAAAAGAAAATCTTATTTTCATCTTTTTTAGTATACTCTCATTCTTTTATCACAAACCCTCCTCTAAGCCTTATTGCCACCAGTCTTCTTGGAGTATGGATAAGTTATTTCTTGTGGTTTAAAAAATTTGCTCAGGCCATTTTTGTCTGTATGTAATCAATCTGTACCTCTTATTAAGAATTAGCTGAACTCAGTGTTAGAAAGAGAATGAATTGATTCTGGAACATGCACTGTATTAGTAATCATCCTTTCATACTAGGAAGTTCCCAGAACAAGAGAATCCTGTCGTTTTGGCACTGTGTTAACTTACTACTCTACTTTTTGATATGGTACTTGCTTTATGACATTTTTGACTTTGCTCTCTCTTACCTTTTCTCCTTTACCTTCAACTGCTTCCTCTCACTGAATTCTATTAGGATTTAGCATATATTTAGCATAACTCAAGACTCTTTCAAGTGCAATAAATAAAAATAAATTCAGCCTTGACCAGTGTGGCTTGGTTAGGCATCCTTCTGCAAAGTGAAAGGTTGCTGGTTTGATTACCGGTCAGGGCACATGCGTGGGTTTTGGTTCCAGTTGGGACAAGTCCAAGAGGCAACTGATCAATGTTTCTCTCTTACATGGATGTTTCCCTCTCTCCCTATGAAAATAAATAAATAAAATCTTAAAAAAAAATAAAAAAATCCACACCCAGATACATCACAGTAAATTGCAGAAAACCAAAGGCAAAATTGGAAAGCAGCCAACTATCTTCAAGAGAAGGTAGTGACAGACTGAGAACTGACTTCTTAGGGGCAATGGAACGTAAAAGGCAGGAAAGATACAATCCATATGCCAAAAAAAAGTAACTTCCAGTTGAGAATTCTAAACCCAATAAATATATTCATCTGGAATGAAGAGAAGCAAAATAAAGATCTTTTCAGATCAACAAAAATGAGAGGCCCTGGTCAGGTAGCTCAGTTGGTTAGAGCACCATCCCAATATGCCAAGGTTGAGGGGGCAATGCCTGGTCAGGACACATGCAAGAATCAACCAATGAATGCATAAATAAGTGGAACAACAAATTGATGTTTCTCTCTCTCTGTCTCTTTCTCTCTCTCTAAAATCAGTAAATAAAAATAAAGTGGGAGAGCCCCTTGCTAACAGGCAAATACAAAAGCAAACAAACACGGTAGGCAAACTTCTATAAAGAGCCAGATAGAAAATATTTTAGTCTTGCAGGCCATATGCTATGGTATCTCTCATAACCACTCTGCCGTTGTAGCTCAAAAGAAACCACAAACAATAGCAAATGAATGTGCCTGGCAGTATTCCAATGAAATTATTCATAAAAATAGGTAATAGGCTAGATTTGGCCTGTGGACTGCAGATTGCTGACTCCTGTCCTAAAGTTTAAACTTCAGACACAAGGGAAATGATCCCAGGTGGAAAGGCAGAGATTCCAGAAGGAATGAAGAACAAAGAAAGAGGTAAGTAAACATCGATTATATGAAACTTGGTTTTTAAAAAAACAACTAAAACACATAAGAGCATATAACAAGAAGTTAAATGGAGTTGGCTTCCTAGATTCCTTGTGATGTCTCTCTGGGGGACTTGTAAAGGTATTGATGAAAGTAGACTTCGATACATTAAAAATGCCTGTTATAACTTCTAGGGTAACCCTTAAAAGAATAAAAATGGAATAAAACTTCCAAACTACAAGAAGGGTTAACAATGGAATGATTAAAAGGCAAGCAAGAAAGGAAAGAAATATTAAACAAAATATTTGAGACAAATAGACAACATAAAAAGTTCAAACCGAAATGTAGGACTAATGACATGAATATAAATGATTAAATGCTTCAATTAAAAGTGATTATCAGACTATTTAAAAACAAAAATTAAATGCTGTTTATAAGAGATGTAAGCAACCAGAAAGGTAAAAGACAAGGTTAAGACTAAAATCCCTTGACTAACATAAGTTTTCAACACTTTAGTAATTTCTCTCTTACAGATACTATACATACATAATAGTGCATCTGTTTGGGACACAGTAATTGAACATTTTTCTTTTATTGTACATAATTTTCAAAGGATGACATTTGTAGTATTTGGAGTGGTTTGAATCTTGAGTTATTCGAATAATTGAATGGAACTGTTTTGGCAGTTACTAAAGGCAACGTGATTCCAAAATTTTTATTGGCTCAATATGCATATAAAAGTATCCAGGGTCAATGATTGCTATTTCATGTTAATTTTTTGTTGATCATGCTAATAAAGTTCCAAAGCAATGTATATAAAATTTTAATGAAACAAAAAATACACCATTATTTCCTTTCAAAGTATCTAGAAGTACCTATATCTCATCCTGAAGAATTAAAGAGTTTATAAAAAACAAAACGTTAAAGCGCTGGGGCCAGGCTTTGGGCTCAGCATTTTCTTTTAGCTCTTTTAGTTCTCACAACAATGCTATAAAGTTCCTATTTACATTAAACATGACATTAAGAAATAAATTGCTCAAGGTCCCACCAAAGGTTTTGAGTCCAGGGCGACGGCAAGTTATGAACACAGGCTTTTTCCGTTGCTGCTGATACAATAAAAAGGCCTTATCCTTCAAATTTCTCTCAAGCAGGAAAAAATTCTCTGCAAGATCACCTCCTCTCCTTCCTCAGAATATCGCTTACTCTCCGTAATTTAGACTATCAGCTTCCTGCCGTTATTACAAGTAATGATGATATTAATCCGAAATGCGTTACATCTCTTGTTTCCCAGTGTATCAATTCCGGGTGTTATTTCCCGAATTTGACTTATCCCCGTGCGGGGAGCTTAACGCCTCTATGTAGATGAAAGAAAACGAACCAGATAGATGTCAGATCTCCACGGCTCCTTTTGTAAAGGGTCGGGCAGCAGGGAGAAAAAGGTTGAGTCTGCACAATTCATGGTGGGCCCCTGAAAACGAGTTAATTGGTCGGTAAGTATTCGTCAGGAATACGCCCATAACTATTTTGACTGCAAACAGTCGAGCCGACCCGCAAGGTCTCTTACTCACTTTGAATTCGGCCTAACCTTCCGGTACATTTACTAATTTGGGCTTGGTTCACAAGTACAAGGTCCCTCACAGCCCTATCCGACCTGTAGCGAGGAACATAAGATTTGGCGCCTAAGGCGGATCCTGCTCCAGGGTTCGTGGAAGCACCAAACTCTCGCGATATCTGAGGGGAGGGGGCAGGAGAACTCACGTGCACGCGCACGAGAGCCGTTAGGGTGGAACCCTTCCTGGGCGGGGCGGGCGGAGCGGGCGGAGCAAGTACAGTTGGACGGCAGTTGGTGGAGCCCCCGCAGAAAACGACTAAGCGCGAGCAGCGTGCGCGCTCACGTCGCAGCGACGGCGGTGGCGAGCGGCGTCAGAGCCTGAAGGGGGGGGTGACGGCTGCTGGCGGGTGGCTAATATCGCTTCTGTCCCAGGAATCGGACAGGGATTGAGGGAACGAGGGTCGTTTTCGGGGGCTGCTGTCTTCCGGGTACGCGTCGTCTTCAGGAGCGCAACCCGGACTCTGCTGTAAATCCTCTGGCTCCTTTTACGCACGCTTTCGGGCGGCGGCGGCAACCGAGACAGCGTCTCACCTTCCCCCAGCCCTTCCCCTTGTCCCCCACTGCCCGAAAGGGCCTGGTCTGCGCCCCACCCCCGCCTGTCCGCCCGGCCGCTACACCGCAGCCATGTCGGCGCAGGCCCAGATGCGCGCGATGCTGGACCAGTTGATGGGCACCTCCCGGGACGGTAAGTCTCTGCCAGTGCCCTGGGGGTGGGGGAGGGGATGGAGAAGGGGCTCTGCGGGCGCACCTGGGCTTTGCGTGTGTGACTGAGTAAGGGGCTCCCAGATTGGTAACACGAGGTCCCGGCTCCGGTCCCATCCAATCAGGACTGGGCAGGCGGGCTGGGGGGGCGGTGTCCGAGCGGATTGGCGGGAACCGCTGCCAATGGGGTTAGGCGGGGCCTGGAAGCTGAAAGGAGAGTTTGAGCATTCAGTGTTGACTTGCCTGGACCGGAGAGCCCACGTCTCTCTTGCGTAGTCCGGCGGCCAGTTTAGTGGTCTGATTAGGTACCTACGGACCGCTAGAGCCTCCGCCCCCTGTGTTGTTCCCTAATCCAGAGCTTTGGGATCTTTGGGATCTTCCCTCGCCGCCGCCCTCCCGAGCATCCAGAGAGAACGGCCCCCACCCCATCCCCTTTACCTGGGTCCGGAGGAAACCTTTTACTAAGAATCCAGTCCCAGAAATGCACACTCGACCCCCCGCAAGATCAAGTATTCTTAAAAAATCTGACCCAAACCATGGTTTCTTGAGTGGGTGTGTTTGGCCCCATTTTGTGGAAAAGAAAAATGTTATGTCCTGTTTTTCCGAGACCTCCATTTTGTTAGACAATTTAATAGAGGCTTTGTTCAGTAAATATTGACAAATCTTGCATGTGCCCCAAGTAGAGCCATTTTGAAAATGTGGTGCCCAGTGAAGTAGAATTGAGGGAAACGATTCCTTTAGGCACTTAGATTAGAATTTGTATAGAAAACTACTAATTGCTGGATATCTTTTTGTTATAAAGAGAATTTTTAAATAAAAAGATGAAATGTTGCTTTTTTGTTGTCGGTAATTAGTAATGTACTCTTTAAAATTCAGCTCAAATCCATGCTACTATGGAGGAAAGATCTAGTTCAATACTTTCTTAAAAACAAAATAAAACACTTGTTTATTTTTGTATGTTGCTTGTATAGGCAAATAGTTTCACAGCCATTGGAAAATTGCTTTTAACAAGTTAAATTGCTTGATATAAAAGAAAAGACACAGTCTTAAATTTTTAAGTCGCTCTTATAATTTTCTTGAATGTTTTGCAGCAAAATATGTGAGTAGTTTTTTAAAAATTTATTGAATTCAAACATTTTTGGCAATGCATATTTAGAATGGCTTTTCGGTGTTCACAGTTCAATTTTAATAAAAACCCATAATGGGAACTTTATTCCTTGTAGAACACGTAGACAAATAGGTGTAGATGTCAGGTTTACTTGTGGTTGTATAGAGAGGAGGGAAAGATTGGGAAAGAAATGAATTTTATTTGTGTAGTAAATCCTTGAAAGGTAACAGTTTAAAACGCCACTTAGAGAAACTTACCCGTTATCATTTTTCACTTTTAGATAAGAATGGTCATTTTACATCTGCAGCATGTCTTAACATTGCTCCTTTTTCATTATGAAGACACAATTGTGAAGGGGCTTATTTTAGGATTTTAGCTGGCAGAATTATTCTATAATAAAATTATAGAAATTGTTTAATATTTATTTTCCATAATCTTTTAGATCCTAGCTGGATACCATTTTTGGTACCTTCTGCATGGATTGAATTTCCTAATTTTACAGGGAGGATAATTGGATCAGAGTACACTATTTTCACCTGAAAAATTTCTGAACTAAGTAGCCAATCTAGGATTGCAAAGCTAAACCGAATATATATACATATACACACACACATACATACATACATATGTGTATATATATATTTTCCTGTGTATGTAGTTAGAACATGACATGGATTTCTTAAAATCCATCCTGTTGTGTATATAAATAAATTCATATTTTTTGTGTCTGTTACTGATTATTTATTTATTTATTGCATCCAGACTAAGAGGATTTACCAATGAATTCATGTTTAAGAGTCCACAATATTATTTAGCCAAAGTGACTAGGTTTTCACTGCTGTGTTGGCTAGAAGTAAGAAACTACTTTCAAGGAAAAGAATTGAATGTTTTTTTAGATACATAAATTCTTTTATGTATACATAAAAGATATTAATCAGAACATTCTTTTCCTTCTTAACCCGATACCAGATAGTTGAATGAGTTTACATATTTCATTTTATGATTGAGGACCTTTACATAATTAGAGTTGTTCTTTATTAGCATGTAGTCAACTTCAAGTTATCCAGGGATAGGGGAATGTGGATACTTCCTCAGTAACACTATGTAATATGAAACCACATAATGGGAAGCTTTGTATTGGACACAGGAACAGCATACAGGGACTGCTGTTGGTTGTGTTTGGCACTAAGGTGGAATTGGGGATTCAAGAGGTGAGAGAGAGTTGGAAAAGGTAGGTAGGAGGTATTTAAGGCAGCTCTGTCCAAATTTTTTTTTTTTTTTTTTAAATTTTAATCCTGGATACTAACTATAAAGCAACCACTGTCTTCCAGGGTAGTGGGACTCAAGGTGGCAATAACCCCCTCAACCTTTAGTGTCCCATCTTTGAGGGAATCTAAAGTGGCACAGGAGGCTTGGGGCAGTGGGCAAACCTTGTACCTCCTGCTCCCCAAAATCAGAGTTTTTAATTATTTTTTAAACTCCTTGGAGATTTAAGTCTGTTAAATGTACCTTATTTCGAATTACTTAAATCAATTAATCATTTAGATTATCTAAACTTCACTGAAATTCTCAGGAATAGGAATTTTAGTGGCAGGGAAATGGAGAGGTAATTTTTTTTTTTTTTAATTGAGACTATCGCCGTTGTCCCCATTCTTCCCCCCCCTCCCCCACCCCTATGGCCCCTCTTGGAGAGGTAACATTTTTTTCACTGGGCACTTCCAGAAAGGACAGTCCTGGGTGAGTGGTGACAGTGGGGGGCTTTGGACAACCAGAGGGCAGCATGATGACGCTGGGAGGCTGGGCAGGGGGATGACCATGAGGTGGGAGAGGAATGTCTAAGGGAGGTGGGAGGGCCAAAGACAAACTTTGCCTTCTTTGCAATTTTGCCTAGGGCCCTGGTGGTGGCAACCGCCTGTGTGCCACTGAAAATCGTGCCGATGCCTGGCATACTGCATAAATGGAAGCAGGGTACCGCGTGAGTTGAAACATTGGTCACACTATATAAAGTTTGTATATGTGAATCAGTGTAACTCATACCCATGTAACTGGGGGTCTGACTGTATTTGGATTTTTCTGATAAGGCATCATGGGCTAAGGAAAAGAGCACTGGGCTGAGACTCAGGAGACCTGGTTTCTAGCCCCAGCTGTACCTCTAATTGTAACCTTGGGTAAGTCGCTTAACCTTTTTTGCCTCAAGTTAAATCTGTAATTTGTTAAATGGGAAACCAAACAATTTCCTATGTTATACTCCAAAAATCTTGGAAAAATAATATTTTAAATTTTTAGGAGAGAGGAAGCATAGTACATAGAAATCAGTATCTTTCATCTGAAGTGTAGGATATGTTAAATTTTATAAATATCTTTGTTTTAGTTGTTAGAATTGAAAGAAGGGAGAGGGATAATTTGTTCTCCCTGAACTATTCCATTTGAAAGCAGAGAACAGGAAGATGCAAGCAGCAGTTTGAGGCCTGTCAGCGTGACACTTGGAGGAACCCAGTGCCTTCACACAGACTATGGTGATTGGTGCTGAATTGGGTTAATTGCAAGAGTGTCCCTTAGTTAAAGCTCTTTTGCCAATAAATACAGTTTGGTTATGATTAAGTCTCTGGTTTTGATCCCAGATAGGCCTGGCAGGATGCAGGGAGAGGAAGAGGAATTAAACAAAATTGAGGGTGTGAATTTAGATTGCATTCTTTGTTTAGAAACTAGGGAAGTTATAGAAGGTAGCTTTCAGGATTTCATACTTCTTAATTTCTGTCACCTTTAAATGGGTTCATAGACCATCTCTAAAACGTTAAAATAACCCAGGAATGAAAATCTGCCCTCAAAAGTAACCAGTAGATAAAAAGAATGTAGCATATAGAATAGAATTTTATGGCATCATTAGTTGTCCATCATAGTTAGGGAGTGTTTGGTGCAAAGTAAAGCTTACAGATAACTTTAGCTATTTTTGATGGTCATCTTCCTAAACTTGATGCTATACTTCCTCAGTTAATAATAGAGTACATTAATCAGAATTTAATATTCTTTGTTGATTGGTTACATTGTTCAGTAGTTGTAGTTTATGGGCTGTAAACTTAAAAGATTGCTCATCCTGAGAGCTACCCAGGAAAATACAGGTCAGAAAATTATTTACTTGTTTCTAATGCAAGTCAGTGATACATGACTGTAAAACTTACAGAACAGTATGACACTGATGCCTTTCTGCAAAATAAATTATTTAATTAAAGATTGAAGTAGTAGTATTCAGTGGTTTTTCTTAATAAAATTATCTTTACTGTAATCTGTGTTCCTCGACTTGTCATCAACATTGACAGCATTTTCTTTTAATTTTTTTCATTAACATAATTGACCATATTTATTTCTTGGTCAGTTGTAAGCCATTCTTTTATTTCACTTGAATTGTTCATTTTAAGTGAAGGAGGCATAGCCTTTAATATGTAAGCACACTTTTTTTTTTTTTTTGAAATAATAATGGGGTATATCTTACTCTAGAGCTTGTAAATTCTTTAACAGTATGAGAAATTTTAGCAAGCATAAGGTTGAACAATAGTTAAACATAAAAAGGTTAAACAGTTTTAGTAAATATTTGAATTAATCAGAGGTCCAGGCATATCAGAATACTGAAAGCTTTGTTGACACCCACATATTGAATCCATTAAAAAAAAAAACTATTAACTCATTTTGCATTTCGAACTCTGAATAATATTTCTACTACAGAACAGCTCAGAAAACAGTAATAGTATCACCTCATAAAACCCTCCATTGTCGTTGGATTCTTTAAAGTTGTTTAGTTCCCTTCAGGAAAGCCTTAGAATTTTGAGATATTCTTTTACTTCAGTTAAAAACAATTAAAACCAGGAAAAAAATCATTT